GCAGAGGCGCGGAGTGGGTTGAACAAAGGCCCCCCCCCCCTGCCACTCTACGTTCCCAGGCTCGGGTGTTGCGGGCGCCCCGGCCAAGGCACTGGAGCTTTTCAGCCCATGGCAGGGCTTGGAGGGAAGAGAGTTCGCAGGCCAGGCCGGGACGAGCTGAGCCACCGGCAAGGAAGGCGACGAGCAAGACGCAGCAGGCTTGGGCGCTGCCGGCACGCGTGGGAGGCCTGCGAGCAAACACGGAGTGCAGAGCATCCGCACGCCGAGCTGCGAGCTGCTGGAAAACACGGCGACGCCAGGGCTGCTGCGACGCTGCTGCCAAGCCCGGGGATGCGGCCCATGAACAGAGCCGGATTCACTGGCTCCGGCTCTGGCAGTAACTTTTCCCTGAGCAGTGCCAGGACCTCACCTGCTCCCAGAGCTGCTGCCTGCACCAATGTAAAACTCACTCTAAACCCCACACATCTGAGCAGCACCTGCATGTCCCCAGCAGCCCAGGGAGCCCCACGGTCTGTGAGTGGGCTGGAAGTCTCCAAGGGTGTGCAAAGGCACGGCTGGGCTGTATCCGATCCCTATCCAGCCCTCTTGAGTGCTCCTCTCCGGCCAATGCTCTCTGGCCAGGGTGAGAGCCCTGGCTGGCATCCTGCACAAATATTGCTGCTGCCAGCCAGGGCTGCTGTCACCCTGGGCAGGTACTTAAGTATAGTTGCCAAAGCCCAAGGCTGCAGGGTGGCTATTGCTTGGGTGGCCTTCACCCTGCCCAACCCCATCACGCTGCGGGGCAAGAGCAACTGCCCGGCTGTGGCCCAAATCCCAAATCTGCCACCCCACGTCATCCGGATCCCCTCCGCCCCCACGCTGCTGGGTGCTGCCTCAGGCAGGCGGCTCAGGGTGTTGGTCACACCGGAGGTGTTTCGCAGCAGCCACCCCGAAATTTCAGGGGCCGCGTGACGGCTGCTTGACGGGAACGGGACAGATGTGGCACCCATTGCATCCGCTGATCTCCTCCCACGCCAGGATGTGATGGGCACCCAGCACTAGGATCAGGGCCGGTGCCTGCACTGCCCCTGTCCCAGGACATCTCACGGCCCTGCTGGGTGCACACCGCAGGAGAGGACAGCTTGTAGCTCTGCAGGCTGGCAGTCCCACACAGTCATGTCACCCGTTTCTTGCTGCATGGGGCACTTTGCTTCCTGGCAAACCATAGGGATGGGAAAAAAGTGATTTTGGAGGCAGGAGTTTGCTGGGATGGAGGAGGGGAGCAGCCACTGCTGCCTGGGCCGTATCTGCAGCCAGGGATCTACCTGAAGTGCTGGGCTTTGACCCACTCTCTGCTTTCTGCCTGGCTGCGTGCGAAATGGCACTGGTGAGTGCTGGGTGCCGCAGGGCTAGGGAGCGATCCCGCTTGTCCCCGTGCTGGCATGGTGCTGAGTCACGCTCGCGGCGAGCATGCGGCAAGCACAGCGGCACTTGCAGAACCGAAACCCATGGCCCTTTACTCGATTTGGTGCCGCCGTCGTGCCGGCGTCAGCGCTCGAGGCACCCCGCTGGATTTCAGTCACCCTCTGGGAAAATACTGCAGCGTGAGTGCACTGCAGAAGCAAACAGCACCCCAGGGACAGCCTGAGAGGCCAAAAATGCAGTTATGGGCCAAATTCTCTCTTTCCTGTGCTTCCAGGTGCAACAAGCTGGAGACGTGGATGTGCAATGTGGACTCCAGTGAGCAATTCACTTTGTGTAAGCCCACGTATTAATCTGTGCATAAATCTGTCGTTATATCCCTTTTCCTAAGCACAGGCCTCACTGTGTGCCAGAGCCAGGATTTTCCCATGCGGATGCCTGGAATTAAGGTCTCAAAACTGCATTGAAGCTCCTTGGCAAGAGCAAACTTGTTTTCTATGTTTTGTTTTTTTTTCTTCGTGACCTCTGAATTCCTCTGTGTCTGAGATCTTTTGCATAGAAGCAACATTATATATTAAAGGAGACTGGATCATGTGCAAGGCCCCGTGGAGCACCAAGGAGAAGCAGGGTGAGGTGGCCTGCCTTGAAGAGCTGCCGCCCTGCGGGGACGGAGCCGTAGGAAACCGGAGAGGCTCCCAGAGGAGCAGTTGGGCAAGATGGGAACCTCATTAAAATAAAAGGTGGAAGACGTTATTACCGTCATTCGGCCTTTCTGGGTGTTCACGCTGGCGGGGTTTCAGCCTGCCGGCGGTGAGTCACGGGCTGAGGCGTGCTCGAGCTCCCGCGCAGGTGAGCCTCGCGCCGCGTCGCTCCTCCGCCTTGGCCCCGAGCAGCTGCGAGCCCCAGCCCGCAGCTCCCCTGGGACAGGGAGATGGGGGGCAGCCCAAGGGGGTCAGAGCACCTGCGAGAACAGGTCCCTGGCAGACAGATGGCAAAAACGGGGACAACCTTTGGATCCCCAGAGAGCAGCCAAAGTGTGGGAGAAGGAGCAACCCTTGCAGGAGAAGTGGGCCAAAAGTCCTTTGCTGCGACAAGCCTGGAACAGAAGTGTTTGGCGCTGCAGCCCTCGCATGAAGCAAGCCCTGAAAGCCTGATGCTTCCTTCCCTTTTTCCATTTTGGGCATGTTTCAGGCACATTTTGCCTTGTCATCCTTCCGCCTGTGCTGACAGTGCTGGTTGACAGGCGCGTGGTTCCTCCACAGCCCTCATGCTGCAATTGCTCACGTGCACCAGCTTCACCCTGCACAAAATAAGCTTTTCTGGTGCAGGGTGAAGACCCCCTGCCCCATGTGTTCATCTGTGCTGGCCGTGACTCAGCTAATTCCCTCTTGCTAGAGTCGTTGCCTGGGTCAGCATTAATTTATTGCTCGTGCTGGCTGCAAGAACAGCGACCACTTCCCTTGCTGCCACAGATATGCTGGGCCTGGAGCGGGGGGATGCAGGACACAGCGCGTGGGGCAGCTGACTCCTGTGAAACCAGGACACGTGCCCGTACCTGCTTAGCAGGCACCTTTGGAGGATGCTCTAATTAATGTTTGCTCAGCGATCGGAGATGACAAGCACTCGGCGCTATTAGCGAGCGATTAGTGCTTGATGCTGCTGATGGTGCTGTTGCTCGGAAGGAAGCCAACACGGAGAGGTAGCAGCACAGGCTGGGGAGGAAATTCTATTAAATTAAGGATATGGCATCTTCTGCGGTTCAGTGCTTGCCTTCGATGCCCCTTGTGCTGCAGAGAGCTAACCTGACACCTCTGAAAGGTTTCCTGTGATTTCAGCAGCACTAAGACAAGCCTAACGTCCTTGGTGTGACGTCTGTCCATACAGGGCGTGGGTACTTAAACCTAAGTGATTACACCAAGTTACTTCTTCCCATTGCTGTTTATCACTGAGCACAACTGTGAAGACAGGAAATCTCAGCAGCAGCAAATCATACATGTCTCCGTCTTTATTAGAGGAAAAATCATTGGTGAGAGTGACACCTGTAAATCTATTTAAGAAATTGCTTTCTGATCCACTGACATATAAAAGCATAGTCATCTTCATTCCCTTTATCCATCATCCCCAACTCCTTTGGCACCTGGCATTTTGCTGGGTTCATGCTCCCGTGCTAGCTGCAAGCAAATAGGCAGGTGGTCCACATGGCACATGTTCATCGTGCTTCTCCCTTAGCCAGGCACCTGCTTTTCCCTGCCCAGAGAGGCAGTTAGTACATATTTTATTACCAGTTCTGGTCAATCCCCCCAGCATCCTTGTTCCCACTCAGTCTTCCCATTTTTATCCTTGTCTAACTGTTTTTGAGATCTGCTGGGTTCTTCTGAGTCCCAAACTAGGGCCAATATTGAAATAAGGATAAAACATGGTAGACGAATCGCTGTGGTGCAAATGAGGTAAAACAGAATGGCTGTGGCAGAGAGGATGGGGCAGCTTGCAAACCACAGACCTGTTTGAGAGCAGGATGATTAAGTTAAAAATAAAGAGTCCCAAGAGAGATAATTTTCCACCTGTGATGGTGGTCTCAGAGATTTTGTGCATTTGAGGAGGCTTTGGTGTGCCCTTCTGGAGCCTGGAGCAGTTCAAGCCCTGAGCCCCTTCCTGGGAAGCCCATGTGGGGCAGACTGGATTTACTGGGCCAGTCGGCAATACCAGTACTACGAGTCATTGCAGCCATGTGTTTTCATGCAGTTTTTCAACTGCATGCTTTTCTCACGCTGCAATTTCAGTTTCATGAAATCTGCTGAGTTTCAAGCAAATATGATTAAAAAATAAAGCTCTATTACCCTGAGATGGATCATAAAATTCGCATCTCAGAACTTTGCAGAAAACAGCTGCGATGAAGAGGTAGCATCACGCTGGCTTTTTGTGTCATCAGAAGGGGGAGGCCAGCAGCCTATTTTAGACCATTTAGCAAGGCAGAGCCACACCAGAGGGGACCAAGGGACCCCAGAAGGTTTATCTTTGGTGGACACTTAGAGGCACACTGTTTTTTCTTGCTCACTGCCCTCAAGAAGGGGCCCATGTGTTGGTGACGCCTGTCACCCCTGCGGTGACGCTGGGTGGCAGCAGGAGCGCAGCACGCTGTCCCCTGGTGGCTACTGTGGAAAGGACTGGCACCTGCATGTGCTTCCTGGGACTCAGCACCTCCCAGGCCCGGCCTGAAAATGTGCAGGCCCTTCTCCTTCCACCGGAAGTTTTGCCTTGAAATGACCCAATCCCTCATGTTGCCGAGAGAAAGGACTGCTGGCCCTTGGTGCCCAGCCCGTCATCACTGTGAGGGCACCCAGGCAGAGGGAACACCCACTTCTTGAGCCCCTTGGATGTTATGAAGGCCATCGTCAAAGAAGATGTGGGGCTGGATCTGGGTGAGGATGGGGCCCTTGGGAGCCCCGTCCATGAAGAAGGCCTCATCAATGGCCAATCCCCATTCCCGAAGCGTCTTGATGGCTCGGACGCCCATGTCCCGGCCGCTGCGGGCTGTCACCAAATAGGTGCGGATGGGAGATTTCTCTTGGCGGAACTTCTTTCGCATCTTCCCGAGGTGCATTGCAAAAGCCTTCAGAGGACCCTGGAATTACACAGAGAATTGGGAGCAAGTAGGAAGAAGTGGCTGCTCTGCATAAAAGCAGATGGATAGAACACAAGCTACCCTTTCCCACTGTGGGGTTTTCCAGGCTTTTATAGAGCACAGACCTGCAGGGAATGGATTTGGACAGTGTTGGGTTGGCACTGTGCATTCATACACTGTCCTTGGTTCAACCCTGAGGTGGTCAGAAGACAGTGCAGTACTGTGGTGCTGATGCTAATCCTGGAGTGACCAGGGAGGTGCATTCCAGCTAGCGGCACCATTGGGTCTGAAACCCACAGTGACTTGAATCGCAAGAGGTCCCAATGGTGCCCCAAGGGGCATTCTGGATGACCACGGCTGACCTGCCTCCAGCTATTTGAGACCCAGGGCTTGTTGTAGAAGACATGTCAGTGCAATGCTGGATCAGGCCTGCAGCAACGGCTGGGAACTGGCTAACGTGCAGGGAAACAGTAAGGATTTGTGCTTTTTCTTCTACAAGGGGCTCATGGCAATGTCCTGGCAGAAGAAAGAGACATTTGCAGCATAGTGCAAACTGCCCGTGCAGCCAGGGCAGCTGGCTCACCTCTCCCATGGGCACGGCCTCCATGGCCCTCTCATACTGCACAGCTCCCTCCAGTCCCTTTTCCCGAAAGACCTGGTCCGTCTCATCCGAGAAGAGCACAGCGTCGCCATCAAACACCACGCGCAGTTGGGTGCTGGAGGTCTGCACCTCCTGCTGGAAGACGAGTGCTGCAGAAACCCCTGTGAGACACAGTGTAGGGGGACAAGAGAGGGGATTCAGGTAGGACACCTTGTCCAAGGAGCAGCTTGTGCATGAGCAGCTCCTCCCTGAACTTCTGCCATGGCCTTATCTGACACCACAGATGTTTCTGGGAAAGACATGGGTGAGGTTGGGTTAGTGAGGTCCAAGCTGGGATGGGTTCTGTGGGGATCAGCCTAGCCTTC